ATGTATGTATGTATGTATGTATGTATGTATGTATGTATGTATGTATGTATGTTTGGATGTATGTACATTAATAAAATAAAATTGTGAGGATAGCTTGCATCAGATAGAGCGAAGTATTTAAGAATATAATCATTACATTGATTTGTGTATAATACTTTCCACATCTAATATTTTTTTAGATGTGACTACCAGGATTTCCTTCCACTCCACCCTCACCTGTGAAAAACTTTTGCAAGTTCACTCCAGGTTTCGCATAGGGCTTATCCTGCAGTATCTGGGGGTGGTGGTGTGTGTGAGGCATTTACTGCTATTCTTGTTTATACCGCCTTCCTGCTAATATCACAGAGGCAGATATTTATTAATAAATTTACAGTTATGGATCAAAAAGAAGAAAGCAATGTTAATTGCAAGATCTCCAAATAAAAGCCAGTTCATGGCAAATGTTAAGTAGGCTTGTGTAATGGTCAGATGTCGCGTGGTTTCTGACCATCATTGTTTTGATCCCTTTCGTGTCTTAATCATTTAATCAGAAATGCACAATTGGATAACTTGAGATTAGGGGAGAGAGTAGCTCCATCTGCCAAGAGTGATGGAAAGGGCATTTGAAAGTACACATACGGTTGTTTAAATTTCAGCATTCATAAGGACTTTGGACAGGAGATGTTACAATCTCCTAGTGGATATCCTCGAAGGTAGAGAATCTAAGGGTCCGTGTGTGAGGTATAAACTTAAAACTTTTGGGGATGGTAAAAGGTGGATACATCAGTTCATTGTAACAGAAGGATGAGGTGTTAAGTATATCCTTTTGGACTGTACATGAGGTTGAAACCTCCCTGCTATCTCTATGAAGGAGAGTACTTTTGTCCATAAAGTTTTGCAATGAACTAAGAACATTTAATTTTATATCTGACATGATCAGTATGTATAAAGCACAAAACTCAAAATAAAGTAAAAAAAACCTAAACAAATAATTATAAAGAATGCAACATAGAATAATAACCCTGCCATACATTTGAAGGCCTATTTTTTGCTTGTAGTTACAGTGCTGGCAACTGATCAATTGCTAGGTATGAAATTTGTCCTAACAGAAGCTATCCAAATCTAGATATGACAGCAGAGGTGGCATTCAGCAGGTTCTGACCAGTTCTAGAGAACTGGTAGTGGAAATTTTGAGTAGTTTGGAGAACCAGCAAATACCACCTCTGACTGGAGATTTTACAGTATCCTTCCCCTGCGACACCCACCAAGCCACGCCCACAGAACCGGTAGAAAAAAAATTGAATCCTATCACTATATGACAGGTTATATAAACATAGGAAACAGCTACTCAGATCCATAGATTTGGATACATTAAACTCAATCATTGTATTGACTGATGCTTCAGTATAAGAAAACTTTTAAAAATAATTAAAGAATTAGACAGCCTTTTATCTGCAGTGGGACTAAGGAATACTAGTTTCTTGGGAAACAGAATGATTTGTAAAATAAAAAGAAAAGATGTGAAAAACATACACCAGAACTATTTATAACCAAGCTTATTTACCAAATGCCTGTATTTACCTGGTTGTATGTAGGCACTCTGCACTTCTTCCTCGTTTTGCCCTGGGCAGCATAAGAAGCTCACTGCACAGACAGGATTGGACGATGAATGAAACAGTTACATAAATATGAAGCATTAAATAGCATGAATTATGCCATGATATGTAAATGAAAACACAAAATAAGCTAGAAATTCTGAACTGAGATAGTCCTTTTGATAAGCTTTAAATAAGAATTTATTAGACTACTCATTTTACAAGTCAGCAAAAAGTAGCTGTTTAATACATTAGGTGAATTTTTTTTTTACAAATAAAGGCTTAGTTCAATTAAACCTAATTTGTTTCAACACATTTCTAAGCAGCCTAAATGTACAGACTACTGAGCCTTAACATCCAAAACAGTTTTGAGAGTTTTGTTTTTCAAGTCACATTTGGCAGGATGTTCTGCTATTTCACATTGTAAACAAGTGTAATGAAAGTAAAAGGTTCATTAAAGTAAGCACAAAATGCTCAGAGTTAAGAAACATAGCATGAAAGTGTATCTCTGCTCCTAGCAAAGAATTAGGGAAGCTCAAAAATCGCTAGCTATTTAATGCCTTATTAACACACTTAATGTTATGTTTTCAAGGTAGTTTTCATCTGCTCAATAGCAAATGTCTACGTGCAAAATTTGAGCCCTTGTAAAAGAAGAAGAAGAAGAAGAAG